GTTAAAGTGTTTAGTGAGGATATGAGGCATCTCCCATCTTCCCCTCTGGATTTGAGGTATTTATAAACAAAACTATAATCCTTTTTCATCATGCTGAGAAATCCTGCCTTCTCTCCTCACTACCTCAGCAATCTCCTGCTGATCTGACACGCCCTCTTGAGGCAGAATCAGTCAACAAAGTTTGCAAGTACCCCCAGAACCCTGGCAAATGAACTCAAGAAGTAGGATCCTATGTATAAATCATTAAATTGGAAGTTCTCTTAGAGCATGGGTCCCAGCACACTGGGAGACTTAGGCAGGAGGAGCACAAGATTGAGTTCAGCCTGGGCAAATGAGCAAACTAGAGATATCTCAATTTAAAGCATAACAAAGGAATGGGGACATACACAGTATGATTAACAATTACTATGAATGTTTAAACTTTTTTAATTGGCTACAGTAAAAGACACTTTGCTATTAATTCCCCCCTTGCTCTGAACACACATCCCCTTTCTGAATCAGTTCTAGGGGGGCCTCTTTTGTACCTGAAGTTGCATTGTTATGGCTAGCTGGATGTCCTGAATAAACTTCAAGTGTTTACTTTTCATGGTCATTTTGACTTGAAGAACAGTCCGGAGTTCACAGTGGCAGATCTGGTGAACGTGGTAGACAGGGAAACACTATAATGTCTTTAGACCCTTTCTGTTGGATAGCACTTTGAAGCAACATTCTCCATAGTTTTTTTTTTTTAATGTTTTAGTACAGGATCTACAGGGTGTCACTACACAGATTGAACTCATAGTGATCCTTCTGTTTTCAGCCTCTCAAGCACTGGGATTACAGGCACGTGCCACCACACCCAATCTCATTCACCATCTCAGTGCGGCTGGCACAGCATGCCAGGAATTGAACTCCAGTCCTTGCGCCTGCCTAAGCAGGTGCTTTAGTCCACTGAGCTATCTGGCTGGCCAGTCTTCATTTTAAATTGACTTTATCTACAAAGAACAGCTACCTCTGCTTTTTTTCTGGGTTCCTGTTTCATGAAGTATTTTTTTACATCCTTTGATTTTTCAGTCTATGAATTTTTTTAATTAAATATGTTTCTTGTATGCAGCATATTGTTGGATCTTGCTTCTTGATCCGTTTGCTCAGTCTGTGTCTTTTTGGTGAATTTAGATCAGCAACATCGATGGTTATAATATATATATTATATATTATAACATATATATAATATATATATTATATATTATATATATGGTTATAATATATATATATATATTAGCTTACTTTTGTCATGTTATTTTCCTGTGGCTGACTGCACCACATTTTCCCCCTCCCTCCATTTAATTGTTCGTCATGCCTGGTGGATTTCTTCTCTTGGGATTCATGGAGTTGTAGTTCTTGTCATCTCTTTCTAAAATGTCCTTCAAAATGTTTTCAGAAAAAAAAAATGTTTTCAGAGTGATAGTTTTGTGCTCATAATTTTTTTTCAGATGTTCACTGTCATGGTATCTTATTTCTCTATCAGCTTTGAAAGATAGTTTTGTAGGGTACATCAATCTGGGCTGAAGGTTGTTTTCCTTTAGAACTTTAAGTACTTCACTCCACTCTCCTTGATTTGAGGGGTTTTGCTAAGAAGTCAGCTGTGATTCTGATGGTCTTCCCTCCATAGGTGTCTTGCTTCCTTTTCCTAACAGCTTTCAAGATTCTCTTCCTGTTTTGAATTTTTGAAATCTTGACTATAATATGCCAGTCTATAGATCATTTTTGATCCTGGCTAATTGGAATTCTATATGTTTCACTGCTCCGTATGTCAAATTCTTTGCCTCTATGAAGGAAGTTTTCTGACATGATATCAGTGAATTTTTTAATATCATTTATGTTATCTCCTGAATTTTCATGGACCACAACTAATCTTAAGCTATTCTTCTTTACCTCATCTAGCAGCTGCTAGATTGATTTTTCATGGTCTTTTGTTATTTTTAAGAAATCTTTCTTTTCATGATTGCTAACTGCAAGCCTGTCTTCTGTATTTGAGAACCTGTAATCACATAGACTTAATCCTCTGTGGATATTTTAATGGAAATTTTATCCTCCCAGACATCTTCTTGAATCTGTCTTATGGATTCCATTTCTTTCCTATACTGAGCATTTATGGCTTCCATAATTTTCTTAAGCTCCTGTATTTATTTATTTTCTTTCTTTCTTTCTTTCTTTCTTTCTTTCTTTCTTTCTTTCTTTCTTTCTGGTCTGTATTAGTTCTAGAGTAACTAAGCATGGCTTTCATTGTGGATACCATCTCTGCAGTTACCTGAGAAATTATTTCTGATTTGATTTTCATTCTTGAGCCTCACTCAATTACTTTCTTGTTACCATTTCAGTGAGGCTAGGTGGATGGCTTTTGTATTGTCCCACCTCATTGCCTGCTGGGTTTGCCTTTGATGAACTGGATATTTGAGGTTGAATCTTATTTAAGTATCTTCTCATTTTTCTTTTCTTTTTTTTTTAAATCTTAACTCCTAGGGACATGCTTGTAAATTGCTTATGGTGGGTTACTTTTTGCTGACATTTACGTTCCTTAGGAAATGACTAGTTCTCTGAGGTATTTTTCAGGTTTAGCTGGTTTTTTGGCATTTGAATCTTTTGCAAGAATCTCTCTCTTCAATTTGTTGGGGATGAGAAGTTGTTACCTGTTTGATACAGCCCCTGGTGCTTTGGGACTGCGCCACAGTACTTTTTGTGACCCTTAGCCAATCTCAGTCTTGGCATACCAGGAAGAACAGCTATTTAGAACAATTATGTTATTTTTGGCTACAGTGGTACCATCAGCAATGATAATAGCATAAAACACAGCGTAGAAAATGAACAACTGAGCTAACCATTAACTTGCCATCTTTCGCAGTATGAACTACATTTCTGATTATATAAGAAAATCTGAAACAAACCAGAAAATTACATTCAGTATACAAGTCCTTAGTATGTCAATTTTGCCCTCAGAGTTTAAAATTTAAAATGCGCTAAGGAGAAAAGAGAGAAGTAGAAAAAGAGGAAGAGATTAAAAGTAAGGCTGTATGACAAAGGGGGATCACACTAACTTTGAGAAACTGGTACAAAACACTGGAAGGAAAGAAAAAAGGAAAAGATAAAAAGAAAACAGGACCTCAAACACTAAGTGTTCACATTCATATAAAAACAACATCAGTCTCTTCCTCGGCGCTGCCTACGGAGGTGGCAGCCATCTCCCTCTTGGCACCATGGCGGCCCTCAGACCCCTCGTGAAGCCCAAGATCGTCAAAAAGAGGACCAAGAAGTTCATCCGGCACCAGTCAGACCGATATGTCAAAATTAAGCGCAACTGGCGGAAACCCAGAGGCATCGACAACAGGGTGCGGAGGAGGTTCAAGGGCCA